ATCCATAGAGATTGTCTTAAGGTCTTCATCTTGTGCTTCAACTATGTTATACTTCTCAGGGTCTACTGTGTTAGGATCCTAGGCTCTAGTGAAGACATATTGTCATGGCTGTTGTTGATTGTGGTTTTGTGCCAGCATCTATGTATCTTGGTTTGGGATGATTGTAAGTCTAGGCCCTGATATCTGGTCTTGCCTTTATTGGGTGGGTGTATTGTTCTTTGGTTTCTGTTGCTCTCTCTGATTCTTAGGAGGATATAGTGGCTGTGTGTTGCCTTTTAGGCAGTTCTTTTGGGATCCTGCTAGGTGTGACTAGTGGGGTTTCCAGGTAAAATGTGTTTCTAGGTATTGGGAACTGACACTTAAAAATGGGAATGGGCTTGGTGGGGGTTGGGGATCCATAGGAGGGAGGAAATAAAACAGAATGTTGTACTAGGATCTGCTTAGTCCCTTGGGAATGGGGGCAGAGTGAGGAAAGGCCACAGCAGGTGATCTTCTACAGAGCTGGGGATGAAACTGGGGGATTAGATTTAGAGGAGAGCAAAGAGGAGGGAAGATCTGAGGTTAGCCTACCAGCTTCCCTGCCCAGAGTACAAAAACAAACAAACAAACAAACCTCTTCAGGTTTTAAATTAGAATTAAACCACTGAATTATAAACCAGCTAAAGTCTTCAAAAGACACCTCGATGAGCTATGCTTGTCAGGTGACAAATGAGCCATACTCCAGTATCATCAGAGAAATGCCAATTCAAACAATGAGATGTCACTATATACCTAGTACAATGGCCAAAGCCCAGAACTGTGGAATAGGTACCACCTAATCACTGGTGGTGGGGTAAACTATGATCCAACCACTGTCCAAGACAGGATTGCAATTTAACAAATGTAAATATGCTCTACCCAGATAATCCAATGATTATACTCTTTGACATTTACCCAAGTTATTTGAAAATATGCCAGAAAAAAACCCTGCATGTGGACATTTATAGCAGCTTCATTTCTAATTGCTAAAATGTGAAATGAACCAAGAGATCCTTCAGGCAGTTGAATATCACTCATCATTTCAAAATATTAGTTATAGCCAGGCATGGTAACTCATAATTTTAATCCCAACACTTAGTAGGCAGAGACCAGTTGACCTCTTTGAATTGAGTTCCAAGTCAACCAAACCTACACAGTGAACAATTATTTAAAAAAACTTAGCTGTCAATCCATTCAAAGACAAAGATGAAAATTGGACATACCTTCTGCTAAGGTTAAACAATATACTCTGTATGATTCCAACCACAAGACGCTTGAGCAACTGACAGCAACAACAAACATATTGAGCGGGAGTCAGGATTGGGTGGTGGCATGGAGGTATAGATTGAGGGCGGGAGTCAAAATTGGGCAAAGGCAGGGGGTATAGATGGAGGACAGAAAACTTCACAGCAGTGAGACTAGTCTGTAGTAAATAATACAGGAGTACTATAGTGAGGCTGGTCTCTATAATACTGTAATGGTATTACACACACTATTATGCATGTTCTAAATCCATTAGAAGATACAAAGACAAGAGTGGATTCTTGGGCTTTGGGTGATGGCGACATGTCATCATGGTGATCAACAGTGGTAACAAGTGTGCCACTGTGGTGGAGGTTTTTATAGTTGGTGTGGTTGTGTCCACATTTAAACAATTTTGCTATGTATCTAAAGCTGCTCTAAACCTCAAGGCAAAGTGGTCCATCCTGGTGGCCATTATGCTACCCAAGATAAGTCAGGAACACCACAGAAACTGTCACTTGACTTTACTTCGATGTGGAATTTAAATGAGGTTAAGAGCTAGAGAGAATTGGTTACCAGATGATGTGGGAGGGAGCTGGAAAAGGAGAGGGAATTTGCCAACGGAAAGGATAGACTTTTAGGTGGATTAGAGGGATACTTGTGGACTGACTGCACAATCAGGTTCCCCACTAAAGAAAAACGGCACCTTTCAAAAAGACTAGGTGAGGAAACCTCAAATGTCTAACCTAAAATATGATAGGATGGGGGTGTATTTGCTGGCAGCTTCACTATTCCACATAGTATGCCTGCTTGGAAACTTAGTATGCTCCATAAATCTATACAATTATGATTTACAATAAAAGCTATATTAATTCAAAAATTAAAAACAAGGGGTTTGTAGGGATGGCTGGGCAGTTTAGAGCACTTTCTGCTCTTACAGGGGCCTGGGTTCAGCTCCCAGCATCCACATGGCGGTTCACACCTGTTTGTAAATTTCCAGGGAATCTGATGCCCTCTCTGGCCTCCAAAGTTACCAGGTTAACATGTGATACACAAATATACATACAGGCAAAACATCCACACATATAAAAATAAACAAATAAAATATTTTTTAAAACATACTCTGTAGGTTTTGACAAAAACATAAATATCATGTTCTCACATTATAGTACCACATGTAATCACTTCAGCCCCTACAAATGTCCTGTGTGTCTGTCTGCAAACACTTTATATCACCTCAACTCTAGAGTCACCTGAACATGGCTTATATGGGCAACAGTTTTACCAGTTCCCATGGGTTCGAGGCCTTGGGGTTCTTGACATGACTGTACTCCCGTCAATGCATTCATTCAGGACTTGGGTCACTTGGGGCTTCTCCCCACAAGATAAACTAAACATTTTCCTTCCTCATCCCATGGGTTAGAGGCCTTGGGGTTCTTGACATGACTGTACTCCCATCAATGCATTCATTCAGGACTTGAGTCACTTGGGGCTTCTCCCCACAAGATAAACTAAACATTTTCCTTCCTCAGTTGCTTTTGAGCTAGAGATGCAGAGACCTCCTTCCATAGAAACCTTATTCAGTGTGTTAATACTGCAAAGTAGCTTTCTGGAATTGAAATTGGTGTTGCATTGAATATATATGATATATTACATATTAGATATCACACACATATTGCATATCATAAATTATACCAAGATACAGAATACAGATAAGGAGGTTGTCATCTTAATAGTACTCAGACGTCTAGCCTGTAAACATGGGCTGCCAGGTCGTTGATTCACCTCCTTGACTTTTATACACTTTTACAGATGCTGGCTGTAGATCTCTACACAATTTGTGTAGTGGTTTTGATGTTTTTCTATATTCTATTTTCCCTGTCGCTAATTTTCCTTTCAGTTGTTTCTCATGTATGATATGTGTCATGTAGGGCTTAGATTACAGCACTCAGGCTTGGGAGTTGCAGGCAGAGAGTAAAGAGAATGCAGGGTGGCAAGCTTCCAATGTTGTTTGGAGAGAAGTAAACAACGTTGAACATAGAGAAAGTGATATAGAAGGACCAACAAACAGGACCAAAACCCAAGAAAATTTCTCCATTGGTTTGAAGACTTGGGGACCAAGATGATGGTTGTTGTTGGGGGACAATAGGACTGAGGCACCCCAGGAAAAATGAACTGATTGACCTCAGACTCATGTTAAGGTTCCCCTTGTTCATCCATGTAGTAAAGTCCGGATGGGACAGACAAGAGTGAAATGATCACTGCCGGCCAACTACATGGAAACCTAGATTGTTGGAATAGCCATGGAGGCTTAAAGGTATGAGAAGGAGGGGAGTATTCTCCTAAAGCCTTTGAATGTCCCAAAAGAAGAATTTCAGGATTTGAATGAGTCTTGAGTTCCTTAATTTCACTAGCTTGAATGTCCCCAGTATTCTGCAGTTGTAGGTAGGATTCTCGGCCATGTCTGAATACCTTGCTGTGTTTATGTTGTTTCTTCAGGGTACATTTCCAGAAATTCAGGTTCAGTTCAGAAGAAAGCAATGTTAACTTCTATTTTCCCTGGCTGTCACTTAACTTTCTTTCTCAACAACAGCTATAATTCTAAAACAAATGCCTTATTCTCATGTCAAAAGGCTCTTGCTATGATTGTACAAGAATGTGTTTCCCCTCCTGAATGCTTTGGCTGAGTACTGTAACAGATGATAAGAGATGCTGGTGATGATATCAGAGGAACCTCACCACTTACTTATTCCTGATAGGGACTGTTAAAACCAACAGTAAGCCAGATACTTATTCTCACTGACAAGAAGACAATTCATATAGGAAGGAACACTGAACTCACATTTGTTAACTATATCTGAAAAGGGGAGTGAAACACATGGGGAACAGATACATTAAAATTATTTATCACATGAAAATGAAGGAAACATAGGCTCCCCCTAAAATCTATCAATTTGAGAGTGGAGGACCATGGGAGGGTTTGGTGGAATGGTACCTGGGAGGAGCTGGAGGGTGGAAAATGAAGAGGGAAATCGGTGCATTTATATTTTAATTTGAAATGTATTAAAATTTAACATAACCTTGAATTTGAAGTATATATTTACAAATGAAGACATATACATGTTGGAAAATGAGCAGTAAAAATACCATAAAAGGGCCTTATCTGTCCAGGTTGCAGAATTTCTATATAAAATAATTTGCTACAAAAAATTCAATGGAAAAGTCAATACGATGTAAACCAAGTTTATTTATCAATTTCAAGAAAACAAAGAACAGAAGAGACATCACATGAGAACAGACTTCGTATATCAAGGACTCGTGACTTGTGCTATCAGTTACTGCCAGGGAGGTACACAACATTGAAGTTAGGGATTTCTTGGACACAGGAAACTAAAGGGAAGCTCTGGTTTAGTTGAGTAGGACACAACAATAATTTCTGGAATGACAGGGACAGAGACACCCTTTCCACAGCCAGCTTAGAGAGAAAGCTAGGGAGGCAGGAGCCTGAAAACCTCCTTACAATTAGCAAGACCAGTTGTGAGTGAATAATGATGAGAGGTCCAGGGTGACAGTCAGAGGATGGGTAATGGGGACCCAGAGGGAACAGACAGAGAAGCAAGGACTCAGCCCTCATTCCCACCCAGAGAGCAGAGGTGAAAGGCCAGCAAGGACAGCCCCTGAGCACAGGGCTCTGCAGCCAGGGGACTGGGGATCAGGGACACATTCTGGTGGCAGGGACTTCAGTGCCTGTAGCTCTTCCTGCGGGAGGAGGTGGTGGTGTACTTGATGGTGGAAGAGCTGCCACCAGAGGAGCTGAGGCCACCACTGATGCCTCTGCCACTGCCAGAACTGAAGCCACCTCCAAGGCCATGGCTACTGCTGTAAGAGTAGCTGCTGCCTCCTCCCAGGCCCAAGCTGCTGCTGGCACCACCTGCACTGCCATAGCTGCTGGACACGGTGGACTGCACCACAGCTGTGAAGGAGGCAAGAGGGGACAAGGGTCACGGTGAGCCCACTCTGTCCGGTGCACCAGGCACAAGTCAGGGCAAGCAGGTTAGCATAGTACTTACAGATGTTGACTTGTCCAACACCTTCACCATACAGCCTGGAAGAAGAACAGAGCAGGTGAGAACTAGGGAGCCATGACCTCAGTCCCCTTGGGAACCCTCAGTCTGGTGACAGTTCACAGAGAATCCCCTGGCTGAGTGGTTCCTGAAGGTAGCCATTGTGGCCACAGCTGGTGCTCCCTCATCTTGTGCTCAGTGCCTAGAAACATGGAGGTGTCCTCAGGAGCTGGAGGAGGGGTGAGCACTCACCTGCACTCCTCTCCTTCCAACAGCTTCCTGTAGGTGGCAATCTCCACATCAAGGGCCAGCTTGACATTCATGAGCTCCTGGTACTCTTTCAGCAGCCTGGCCATGTCCTGTTTGGCCTTCTGCAGGGCATCCTCCAGCCCTTCCAGCTTGCCCCTGGCATCCTTGAGGGCCATCTCCCCACGCTGCTCAGCCTCAGCGATGGCAGCTTGGAGGTTGGCACACTGGGCAGAGAGAGAGCAAGAAATTCAAACTTGTATCGTGGTTCTCTCAAGAGTCTGAGCCCCAGATCTTTGCTCCCAGGAAACAAAAGCCTTGAGGACAGAAAATAATGGACAGCAATCTCTGACATTTTCTGTCTATCTCACCTGCTTCTTGACATGGTCGATCTCGGATCTCAGCCTCTGGATCATGCGGTTGATCTCTGCAATCTCCTGCTTGGTGTTGCGCAGGTCGTCTCCATGTCTTCCTGCTGTGACCTGCAGCTCCTCATACTGAAGGTAAAATAGAGAGAGAACATGTATGTGAGGTCTTGTATGCAAAATCAAATTCACTTCTAGGTGACCTGCACTATCATTAGTGTAATGGCTTTTCCTCAGGAGAAGCTGTGGGAGAACATGGACTACATAGCTATCTTGATAACTGAAAATGTTCTGTGTAACCTCATGAGGACCCTTATTCCCAGTACAGCTAAGCATGGATTGCTGGACCCCATTCATGGCAACTTTCTTCTACTCTGGGTTCTTTTGACCCTTGGATTACAATGTAATTCTATAATGCAAGTACAGGCTCCATTTGCAATGACAGGATCCATTTTCTTCTTAGCAGATCTCTAACTCCAATGAAGTCTGAGTCTTATGGAATTCATTGTGGGTCCCAGATATTCTTCATCAGCCTCCAACTCAGTACTCACTTTCGTCTGGTACCAAGATTCAGCCTCAGCCCGGCTCCTCTGAGCAATCTCCTCGTATTGGGCCTTGACCTCAGCAATGATGCTGTCCAGGTCCAGGCTGCGGTTGTTGTCCATGGAGAGGACCACAGATGTGTCTGAGATGTGAGTTTGCATCTGAGACAGTTCCTACAGAACAGAAAGAGGCAACATCTGCTTTGGATGTGAGGGTTACAATGTTCCCAACATCCCACTCTCTGTTTGCACAGGAGAATGTAATGGAAATAAGGCCTAAGTGGAAGAGGGAGGAGAGAGAGAGACAGACTGACAGAGAGAGAGACAGAGAGAGACAGACACAGAGACAGAGACAGAGACAGAGAGTCAAACACAGACAGACAGTGATATTGAAGAGAGAGAGGCAGAGAGAGAGACAGGGTGACTTACTGCATCAAAGACAGTTCTCAGGAAGTTGATCTCATCTGCCAGACTGTCTGCCCTGCCTTGCAGTTCAACCTTATTCATATAGTCTGCATCTACATCCTGAGGAAACAGTGAACAACATGGAATGAGGTTAACTCTCTTACACTGTTCTTTTACCTCAGTCTCCCTGGCAACCATGCTCTGGAATGGATCAGACATGCAAATCATTTCTCTCCATCATATGAGAAGCCATCCCTGTGACTTAGTCAGCTCACCTTCTTCAGGGTCACAAATTCATTCTCAGCTGCAGTACGCTTGCGGATTTCATCTTCGTATCTGTGAGAGGGAAGGTGTATCACGTTGCAGCCAGCGGGTAGATGGCATCAAAGGCAGCCTGAAACCCAGCCCCAATATCTCTAAATGCAACACATCCAAATCACACTGAAGGTGGTTTTGTCATTATTGAATAATTCATTTCTTTTCTCCCCCCAAGCCTCCTATGACCCTCCAAAGTCTTAGTCTGTTGCTCTTTGCAATTATGTGTCATTTTACCTTATTGGCCTAGTACTTTAATTTATGAAGTCTATGTCAAATTAGAGCTTTCATTATCATGATCTTTGGAATCTTTAATTCTTCGTTGTTTTTCTTTTTAACTCACTTGTTCTTGTAGTCCTCCACTGTATCCTGCATACTCTTCAGCTCTGAGTCAAGGTGGCTCCTCTGCCCAAGTATGTAGTTTTCTTCTCTCCTGAGGGTGCTGATATAGTGCTCAAACAAGTCCTCCACATTCGGTCTCATGATCTTTGTGCCCTGCTCCTGCAGCAGGGCCCACTTGGTGTCCAAGATCTTGTTCTGTTGCTCCAGGAACCGCACCTAGAGGGGCCGCATGTGATCAGAAATTTGAATATCATTCTTCATTGACCCTTCACTAGTGTGATACCTGTGTCAGGCTGTCTGCCTAAACCCATTCAGGGTATGTAGTGCCTGGCCCCAGGGTCTGAGAGGGACAATCCAGAGCAGAGCCACCAACATCATCCCTCTGAGGAAGGCAGAGCTCTCAGGCAGGGCATAGGCAGCCTAGAAGTAGCATGCTGGATTGTAGTTCAGTTTAGTGTGTCTGGGATGATTCCCACACTGCCCTGTAGAGACTTCTCCCTCAGTACAGTCATCTGTGATGTGAGGCCTGAGCTCATCTCAGCACACCTGAGTGAGACACTCTTATGGGGCCACCTCTGGAGGAGAGGAACTCTCCCCCTGATTGCCAGCTGCTAGTCTGACTAAAGAAGAGACAAAGCCAGGACAGAGTCAACCAGAAACAATGGCAGTGTTTGGGCAAAGCCTAGAGTATCTTCCCTCCTCCATTACCTTTGGCTTTCCCTCCAGAGCCTGCTCCTGCATAGGCTGTTCTAGAAAGAACCACGTCTCACCTTGTCGATGAAGGAGGCAAACTTGTTGTTGAGGGTCTTGATCTGCTCACGTTCCTCAGTCCTCACCCTCTGGATGGGGGGTGGGAATTTCAGAGGGGTGAGCAGGTTCTGGTTAATGGTGACCTCTTGGATGCCTCCAGGGGGGCACACAGGGAATCCAGTACCCCCATAGTCACCACCAAAGCCAGCTCCACCCCCGAAGCCAAATCCACTGCTGGCTCCTCCAAAGCTGAAGCCTCCTCCAACTCGGCTGCCATAGCCTCCCCCAATGCCACAGCTGCCCCTTCCGATGGAGATCCTCTTGGAGCTCCCCACACCATAGAGACTCCTGCTGCCAAAGCCAGCTCCTCCAAATAGAACCCCAGAGCCATTGTTGCCCCCGGAACAGCACACAGACACACTGCTGAAGCCAGGGTGGTTTAGCCTTGGCAATATGGCTGAGCTGACATTGATGCCTCGGTGACTGGTTTGACTCCTGATGGTGGTTTTGGAAGACATGGTTCCTGGGTATGAGATGTCTGTAAAGTGGAGGTACTGCAGGGCAGAGCTGGGCAGATGAGGGTGATAAGTTCCGGGCAGCTGCTTATATATAGTGTAGGTGGTCTTGCTCGTTCCTAAAGGTCAGTTTGCAGACTGGGAAGGCCAGAGCTTTACACACAGTGTGGTCACGCCTAGATGATTCAAAAATGTTATGAAATATTAAGATTGTAGTTTTGGCTTCCTTTAGTCATGGGAAATGTTCCAGCTTCTAGTACTCTTAATCTGAGTATAGTAAATCAGTCCTTAGTTCACTGTATCTCAGGTACTCACCAATATAGGTTCTGCAGGTCATGCTGAATGTACGGAGAGCCCTCTGCTCCCTGCCTGATCCTTACTTCCATAGAGCTATGGAGACCAACTGATTTGTTATGCCAACAAAATTGTCTTCTGCCTACAGAAAGCTCTTCGCTGGCCTTCAGTGACTAGGAACATGAACTATAACCTGCTTCCCTTTAGATGCCATTTCAAACAGATACAAAAGTCAACCACATGTTTGTCCCCACACATCTTTCACTAGGTTGATAACAAAAAGCTCACAAGCAGCCTTATTATTTTCATATCTCCATTTAAGTCACTCACCAACCATATAATAGTTCCCTGCTCACTGGTGAAGTACTTGTTGCTCTTACAGAGGACCTGACTTTAGTTCCCAGCATCAAAATGGAGGTCACAACCATCTATAACTCAATTTCCAGGCAGTTTCATGTCTTCTTCTGACATCTGAGGGCACCAGACACACACAAATCACACACACAGTCTATACATGAATAACTAACATAACAACAGAAATGGTGATTTTTTAATTACCCTTGTTAGTATAATTTTTGAAATATTTTGAATGTTGAAATTTGTAAATACATTTAAATCGTGTTTTACAGGTCATAGATCTTAAATAGTTTCACAAAATCTATAATTGTCTCGTAATTTTTTTTCTCCTAGTCACTTAAAAAATGCTCATAGGTGTTTTGCCTAAATGAAAGTCTGTGAAACACTTGTGTGCCTGGTTCCCCTGGAGGCCAGAAGAGTAAGTCAGATCCCCTAGACCTAGAGTTACCAGAAGGTTGTGAGCTGTGAGCCACCATGTGGGAGCTGAGTTTTGAACCCTGGTCCTCCACAAGAGAAGACAGTGCTCTTAACTGCTGAGCCAATTCCAGCCCCTCTCCTAATACCTAGTTTGTTAATGAATCCAGATTAGCTGTCCTTCTTAGTGTTTCAGATGGTCTTTTCTACTTAATTGTTTCTGGTGTTTGCTGTAACAGGCCACCGTGTCTATTCTCTTTTCTGTAAACTTAAATCATGAGTCTCAATGAAAAATATTCAAGCCTCTCAGGGGTGGTCACACATCCTGCAGCTCTTGTATTTTTCAGGATACTTTTAACTATCCTGGGTTTTTCCTGTTTCCTCATGAAGCTGAAAGTTTTCCTGTCAAAATCTGTGAAAAATTGTGTTGGAATATTGTTGGGATTGATGGCCATTCTTATTTTATTTACCCTACTGATCCATGTGTGTGTGTGATCTTCCCATCTTCCTGGTATCTTCTTCCATACCTTAAACTTCATATCATACAAGTCTTTTATTTCCTGGGTTAGAGTTTTATGCATTTTGTGTTATTGGAGGCTATTGTGAAAAATGTTGTTCCCTGATTTCTTTCTCAGGAGGTTTCTCATTTGTGTATAGGAAGGGGACAGATTTGTGAGTTCCTCTTGTATCCAACCATTTGCTGATGGTGTTTATCAGCTGGAGGAGATTCCAGGTGGGCGTTTAGGGTCACTCATACACAATGTCATATCATCTGCAAATGGAGAGCTTTGGCTTTTTCCTTTCCAATTTATATGCCCTTGATCTCCTTCAATTGCCTTATCGCTCTAGCTAAGAATTCAAGTACTGTATTGAATAGGTCTGGAGAAAGTGGACAGCCTTGTCCTGTTCCTGATTTTAGTGGAAATTCTTTGAGTTTTCTCTCCATGTAAGTTGATGTTGTCTGTGCGCTTGATATAACCTGCCTTTACTATGTTGAGGTATGTTCCCCGAATTCATAATATCTCCAGGACTTTTACTTTGTAGTGGTGGTAGGTTTTAGCAAAGGCCTTTTCTGCAGGTAATGATGGGATCACATGATTTCTGTTTTTCAGTTTGTTTCAATGGTAGATTTCATTTACATATTCATTTACATGTGTTGAACCAGCTCTGCATGTCTGTGAAGAAGCCTGCTTGATCATGATGATCTTTTGATGTGCTTTTCAATTTGATTTGCAAGTACTTTATGAGAGAAAATTTGCATCTATGCTCATCAGGGAAATTGGTCCTTAATTTTCTTTTTTGTAGGGTTTTTATGTGGTTTTGGTATCAGGGTAACTCTGGCCTCATAAATCAATTGGGCAATGTTTCCTCTGTTTCTATTTCATGGAATAATTTGAGGAGTATTGGCATTAAGCCTTACTTGAAACTCTGGTAGAATTCTGATGAAAAACTCATCAGGCCTGCCTTTGTTTTCATTGGAGAATTTTAATGACTGCTTGTATTTCACTGAGTTTACCAGTGTGAAATGGCTTATGAGATGTTAACTGAACATTGGTAAGTGGTATGTCTTGAGAAAATTATAAACATCTTTTAGATTTTTCCAAATCAGTGGAAGGGGCAAGGGGTTTTAAAACATATCCTTAGATTCTAGGGAATTCCTCATTGTCTGTTGTCTGTGTTTACATGGTTAGTTCTATTAGTTTGGATATTCACTCTCTGACTTTTAGTTATTTTGGATAAGGCTTGTGAATTGTTTTCTTTTTCTCAAATAAGCAACTCTTTATATCATTGGTTCTTTGCAATAGTCCCGTCTACTTGCTGTCTCATTGGCCAAACAGTATTTTATTTAACAATCAACAAGATAAGCATACACAGTACATTCCCCATCAAGTGTCTTTTAGATTTTTCCAAATCGGTGGAGTATGGATTTTTTTTTAGATATGTCCTTAGATTTTATGAATTTCCTCATTGTCTGTTGTCTGTGTTTCTATGGTTAGTTTTGCTAGTTTGGATATTCACTCTCTGCCTTTTAATTATTTTGGATAAGGATAAGGGTATATAAATTGTTTAAATTTTCTCAAAAAAACAATTCTTTGCATCATTGGTTCTTCACAATAATTGTTTATTTATATTTTATTGATTTCAGACTTGAATTTGATTATTTCTTGTCATTTGGTGTGTGACTTCTTTTTTCTGTCCTAGAGATTTTAGGTATAATGTTATGATCTATCTAAATTTCTTTATGTAGGGACTTAATGCTGTGAACATGCCTCTTAGAACTGCCTTCATTGCATCCCGTATTTTGGATGTGTTGTGTATTCTACTTCATAAAATTCTAGAAATATTTAATTTCTTCCTTAACACATTTTTAATTCAGTAGTGAGATTTTCAGTAGCCAATGAGTTTGTTTCTGTTGTTGTTGGTATCCAGCTTTAATCCATGGTGGTCGTATAGGATGCAGGGTGGTTATTTAAATTTTCTTGTATGTATTGAGATTTGTTTGTGTGTCTGAGTCAGTTTTGGAGAAAATTATAAGAGATACTGAGAAAAAGGTATTTTTTTTGTTTGGGTGACTTGTTCTATAAATACATTAGGTACATTTTGCTTATAAAGTCTGTTAGCTCCAGCATTACTCAATTTAGTTTTTGTCTGTCTTTTGACCAGAGTTGGGTAAGGAAGTCTCCCACTATCAATGTGTGAGGATAAATATGTGATTTCAGCAGTAGTAGTATGTCTTTTACAACTTGGCTGGCCTTGTGTTTCATACATAGAGGTTAAGAAATGCTATGTCCTTGACAGAAGCTATTTTCATAAGAATTGAAGTTTTAAAAAGAGGAAAAAAAAGGCAGAGCTGAGTTTCACAAAGTGAGAAAGAACACGCAATGGGGAATGTCATATTCATCTGGCCTAACCTTATCCAGTTAATGTTTTTAATGCTGCTTGGCCTCTCCTTGGGTCAGAGATCTGAACAGCAATGAAAAACAACAACAGCAGCAGTATCACCAAACCAGACCCATTCCTTGGGAAAGAAAAGTACCTTTAGCTACCCAAGTGGTTCCTTCTGCATCCATTACACTTTAATAAGAATCTTGATCTTTGTTCAAGATCAACAGGCAAATAAATAATTCACTGGGGCTAATTTCAGAATGAGTACACAAGTGCTAGATTTTTGTCCAACACCCCAAGGAACTCTAACTTAGTGAGGTGCTCATTTACAAGATTTGACTGTTAGTTAAGTGATTCTGAGTTCCAGGACAGTCAGGACACTTACATAGAGAAACCCTGCCTTGAAAAACCAAAAACAATACAACAAGGGGAAAAGATGAAGAAAAGAAAGAGAATTTGAGATGTTTCCAGATGGTGTCATAGGTATCAATGGGGATATCAAGCCTCAGACTGAGGAATTACAGTATTTTATCCTTCTTTTTCATGGGTCTTGCAGACTCCCTCATGTCCAGAAATGTGGAACTATAGCAATGTCTGCAGTTTCTGTCATGTCACAAACTGAATTAAGCCCAGTCATCTACAGTATTTTAGAAGCTGTTCCAATGGCAACAGAAGGCTTAGACAGGCCATTATTTTATGTCAGGACCTAGCCATGTGTCCAGATGGGAGTCATGGGCACCTCTATGTCCACCAGGGAGATCTTTTTACAACACATGGAACCAGGTACTCAAACACTTGAAATCATACAAACATCCTCTCACTCAGAATCTGCACTGGTTAATATTCTGGTTATGAGTCTATGGGGTCTTGAGAGTAAACTCACCTACAGATCTTCTCAATCTAGGAATTCCTTTAATGTTTTTAAAAGTTGAAAATAAAGTACACATAGTATAGAATTCTCCTCTTTAAAGGGTATAGAGGGGTACTAAATTACAAACTTGCATCTAATCACAGATATTTCTATGATTTCCAAAAGAAGCCTCCAACTGATT